TTGAGTTTTGGAGTTAAAAATTCAAAATCCCCGCGCTCTATAAATTAGATTGGTAAACAAAAGACTTGCCCAAACTTGTCAAACAATAAACTCATGGCGTCAATTGGTCGTCATGGCAACTTCACAATACCTACCCGTCATTTTATGGTAACGATTTAATAAGCAATGGAGGTGCCCATCACTGGCCCACCATTCCCGAAACAAAGACTTGTTCAACAATACCGGTCAAAAATAGCCTTATGACGTCAATTGGTCGTCGTGGTAACCCGAAACAATACCTACCCGTCGTTTTATGCTAATATGCGATGAATAATTAATGTGCCCACCACTAGCCCACCGCTAGCCCACCACTAGCCCACCCAAAATCCGGATCGTGCCATGCGGCCTATACTACTGCCACGCGTGGTAGCATAGCGTTTTGACAACATGGCGGACGAAGAAMGCGTCTTTCTACAAGGAAGCGCTGTTCTTCTGCTTGCTTTAGCCAAGCGAAGATCACATTTGAAACAGAAAAGATCTCATCGTATTTGTCTTTATATTCTTTGCTGTTCCTGTTGTACAGACATTCATACTTTCGGATTTCTTCCATTAAGGCTGCACTATCATGACTTTCAGCCATATTGTGTAGCAATAACTTGAACTCAAGATCAATCTAGAATATACAGTCTTCACGCAAGGCCAATGTTTTGTTTTGTTTATTACGTTGCTATGGCTACCAAAACTGACAGATGCGTTATGGGAAACATTTTTATCGCTCTATCGCTGACATGTGTTTCCATATAATCGCTAACGATCGCTCACGGTTGCTCACGATCGCTGAGATAGAACTTTTTCTATCTCAGCGATCGCAATCGCTCACGACCGCTTACGATCGCTCGATCGCTGAAAAGTGTTTCACGATCGCTGGCATCATTTTCAGCGATCCGGCGATCGTGAGCGATCATATGGAAACCAGGCTTTAGTATTTGGTAAAAAGTCGATGTAGATTTTTTTCATTATTGAATAACACATAAGAAACTTTATGTAATTCCTTTTAAAACAAAGCCGTACCGAGGCGGACCAGACAAGGAATTATGCAAAAGAAAAAAGAAAAAGATAGAGCCGGATAAAAACAAATATGGAGCAAAACAAAAAACAAAAAAACACAAGGTTAATAACTGCATGCGTAAACGGAATGAAAATTTATTTCATTTCTCCAACGATTTGCAGCATAATGGAAAAGTGAGCGCCAAAAACTATTTTCTTGAAGAAAGGCTGTTGAAGGCTAAAATCTTATTATACAGGAAGTTTAACTTGAGCGTTAACCCAAAACGAAAATTGGGATCAAAACTCATACGAAAGTCTATTTTTTGGCGCTTTTTGCCATTATTGCTCATTATTGAAAATAAATTTTTTATATGTATTAATTATTGTTAATTTAACAATATTTAATTATTTCTATCTATATCAATAATCCATTTTACAGTTCCATTCAGTGACCACGAAAATCATTCCTAGGCGAGGCTGGAGTTACCGCGCATGATAAACTCTGGTTTTATGGTAAAATGGAGTATTGCGTTTAACCAATTCACAATAGTTGATACGACACAGTGGGTTGAATGTATTAATAATTGTTAATTTGAACATCCGAGAAATGCTTATTTCTACCATTTGCTTTTAACCAATCAACAATTGTTGAAACAACCGCACAGTTTATAACCATTTGAAATTGATTACCACAGATCCACCCATGGTTCAACTCTATATAGGTTAAAATAAAATATTATGGTGTAGAAGCTACCGTAGATTGGTTATATAACCAATTATTTATGGTGTATTTTATCACCGTGGATTGGTTAAAGTGACCAATAATTAATGTTTTTTTTTTTTACCGCCATAAAAAATTAAAAAAACTGCCAATTCATAAATGATCATAACAACCATTAGCAATTGATTACCACAGATTAAGGGCGGATCCAGGGGGAGGGTCGGGGGGGTCGCCAACCCCCCTGTCATTCCTGAGGTCAAATGGGCTTCCTGTGGTAAAAATGCGACTGGGATTCTTTTGCCCACAAAATTTACCCCTGAGACCCCCCCTTCAAAAAAACCCTGGATCCGCCCTTGCAGATCCACTTTTTAAAACGTTTTTCAGGGTTGATTCAACCAATCCATTTTTACAATGTTGCCGGTCTGACATTTTGTAATATTTTACAACTTTTAAAGAAACAGAAATTCGCGAAAAGAACATATATTTTTGGATAAAGAATGAAAACGAGAAAAAAGGAACTATAGAGGAAACGAAAAGGAAATTATGAAAACGGAGGAAAAAAAGGGAAGAGAAGTACGAAAAACAAAGATATTTAAGAGTAATTCATGAAGGAAAAGGAGAAAAAATCATCTTCCGTCATCTTTTTGCTACCATATGCAAACCTACCATGAATCAAGCAATGCAAAACTCAATACCACCAACAGCAACCAAATCTTCATTTTTGGGCTTGATAATCAATAATCTTAAAGACCCTAGCCGAATCAAAAGAATCGTGTTGCTTGAGTTATTATTTTTATAAATTACCAAATGGTGCGTTTCGGCTTGTTTCCAGCAGAAGCAGACCAGCGACTACCTCGTACACGTATTCTCCAATAGTGAGCAAGTCAAACATAAGTACGTTCTCATATTTCACTTTCTGATTTATGCTAATTTATTCATTAATAATTCATGGGAAGTAGAATCCATTAAAAAAGATAGGTTACCCTAGTTTCAACTATTTATTTTTACAAGATATATTTCTTTTTTCTTTATTTTTTCGTGTATATATTTCTTTTCGAATTGGTGTTTATTATTATTCTTACTACTTTAATATTTGTTGCAATGAAGTAAAAATTAGGATGGTCTGTAAGACTGCTATTGAATATCACCAATTAACTGATAAAAGCAGTTTCGCAATTGTCATTGAAATTATGCAAAATTATTACAACTTTAAAATAGCTTAAACAAAAATAATAAAATTATGTTCACCTTTTCTTTTTTTTTTTCATTATCTTCGATTATTTTATTCCCCTAGCCACCATTGGGTATTGATTTTCATAATTGTTTTTTCAAACTCGAATAACTCAACTGATGACATTCTGCCATTCATATGTTTAAACAATCACAAAATAAATCGTTTTCTGGTGATATATTTTTTTAATGATATTTGTTATTTTTATGAAATTAATTTCATATGTAAACCACCTAGAGAGAGAGAGGAAAAAACTAATCAGGCCAAGAAAGGCTATGGCCGATAATCAGTAACAAAACAGGGCTTTGTATACTCTTAATCATTCTATTGAGGATTTTCAAGCCTGAGGGAACATGGCATTTTCAATCAGCCGGTTACAACAGTATAAAATTTTACCAAACTTTGTCTCCACGTTTTTTCGGCATGTTTTCATCTGTGCTGACACCATTTACATATGGTTTTAATACGTTTAAAGCTTCAATCGGCGAATAAAATAACGAGACCAATAATTTGTAAGCACATGGATTCATTTTGAGACAGTTTGCTATGAAATTTGTTACCAGAAAAAATAACTATCCTCCCCGCTATCAAATTTGTTTCTCTAACGATTGGTGGCACATGAGCATTCGTCCATTCAATATTGTTACGGGGAGGGGGGGTTGGAGAAGAAAAGTTGAATTGGGCAGTCCTTAGTTAATTGTCTATAGGTCTCAAGGTATTTAGTTTTCTCCCGATTGTTAGTAAGTAACATACAAGATATAACCAGCCGATCGCAAGTGGACCGCTCTCGCTGAAAGGAATTATGGGTCGACTAGTTTTGCTTAATATTTTCTGAGCGGGGACTTAAATCGGTTGAAATGGAATTCCGTCATGAGTTCGACTAGCGTTTACGATCAATTTAATGAATGAATAACTCGTATTCCATGGTCTCTTTGATCTTGGCAGAATCATGGCAAATGCTAATGAAAATAAATCGTTGAATCCTCAATTCTGATTGTTTGACCGTGAGTTTGTTCTGAAGGTCAACTCAGCTGGAAGTTTCCGCATGCATAAAACATGCAACATATGTAACAAAACCTTGTGCCTTTTTATAGAAGCGTACTTATTATGTCATAGAGAGCGTAAGTCTGTCCGTATGTCAGTCCACAACTTACCGGCTTGTGGTATAATACTGTATTCGTAGCTAAACAAATCAACGATATTCAATCGAAGACTAGTACTAAACGGAATTCTCGATGTTGTCCGATGTTTCTTCGATATATTTTCGCGGCGACATCGGCGTTCTCGTCTACAGCTATTGCCTATTTTCGTGATCTCTCGTCCGGTTTACGACATATTATTGACTGAAACGGTTTATCTACGTCGACCAGGTCCTACTCGAAGTCTCGAAGTCCTGGATTCTCGTCCTAATGATTCCCTCGAGGTCGAATAAAAATGAAGGCACAGCTACGTACAGCTTTCAAAAAAAATTTTTTACAAGAGTTTGTTTGTAGAGAATGTTTTAAATTGTTTGGCATCTCATTGAATAGACTGATATTTTCCAGCAGGATGACGATCACTTGATTGAATTTAGTGTTTTCGTTGAATTTCATCGCATTTCATCACCCAATTTACAATATTTTTTGCATCAAAAGTAATTCCCAGCTTTCAGAATGGCTTTCAG